AGCCTGGCTCCAGAGCAGAGGGGCTCCAGCCCTGGCAGCATTTCCGGGGCCTCCTCTGGACTGTCTCCAGCAGCTCCACGTCCTTGTGCTGCTGTTCCCCAGGGCTGGGGGCAGCTCTGCAGGGGGGGCTCAGCTGAGGGGGCAGAGGGGCAGGATCCCCCCAGCCCTGCTGCCCACGATCCCTGCGGGACCAGCCCAGGGCACGGGGGGTTCTGGGCTGTTCCAGCCTCTCTCCCCTGACGTGCTCTGTGCAGGGTGTTGGACTAAAAGCAGTTCAAAGCACAGTCCCCGTGCAAACTTCTTATGTAATAGTGTGTTTCATAAATTCTATTTAATCTTACTTGGTATAAAATGACCTTGTAGATTTAGGAGGGAAGTTTGGGATTGCAGCTGCTGCCTTTTTAAAAGTCTAAATATAAACAGGTTTTTGGAAAACATGAGAAATGATCAGCGGAGTTGTTGCTGATTGGAATTGAAAGTCAGAACTGTGGCATCTAATTACTGTCAGAACAGTTTGAGAGGATGATTTGGAGTGTTCCTGCTCCTCTGGTGTAGCCTCTGCTGGTAATTCTTGTAGGCAGGGCTCCCCTGGAACAGGCTCCCCAGGGAATGGGCACTGCCCCAGGGCTGCCACAGCTCAGGGAGGGTTTGGACAGCGCTCTGAGGGGCAGGGTGGGATTGTTGGGGTGTCTGTGCAGGGCCAGAGTGGTCCCTGTGGGTCCCTTTCAGCTCAGGACATTCCAGGATCTGACCTGTGATCCCTGGAGGTGCCCCGTGCTCAAGTGCAGACCCTCTGAAGCCCTGGCTGGGTTGGTCCCTGTGCTCCCCTCCCATTCCAGAGGGCCTGGACATCCCTGCTTTTTTCTGAAGATTCTGGAAAGGAAGAAAAAAGCTGCTGTTCTGCCTCAACCGTTCAGAGTTGGCATGGAATTGCTTTTATTTATTTTTTTTTTAATAAACACTAATTACTTATTTATGTGTTTGTTTATTTTAGGGATAGACTTCAAGATTAAAACTGTTGAATTGCAAGGAAAGAAGATCAAGCTCCAGATCTGGTGAGTAACACAGCCCAGGCCCTGCAGGGGGGGCCTCCTGCAGCAGCAGCTTTTCCTGAGGGGAGTTTGCTGCTCCTGGGAGTCCACTCAGGGATCCAGTTGTGTTTGCAGTGGTGGCAACACTCCATGTGTGTGTTTGTAGGAGGTGGATGTGCAGCAGAGCTGCAGCCACAGGCACTGCTGCTCCCTTGCTGTTGGCAAAGCCCTGCCTGGGCTCTGGGAGGAGAGGATCCTCACAGGCTGTCATTTGGTGGGAAGTGGTTTTAAAACTGGAATTTCTGAATTAGGAGTTGCCTCCATTCTGTGACTATAAATTGACTTGTGGCCCTTCTTTGTGTCAGCAAGAAAGTGCAACCCACAGCCACTCCTGGCAGTAGTTTTGCTGCTCAGCTGGGGACAGTCCCCCAGCGCCTGGAAACAGGGCTGTGCTCTGTGGGGATGTCTGACACGAGGCACAGCCTGGGCTCCTTCCTCTGAGCTCGCTCTGCATGGGCCTGGAGATCCTTCACCCTGTAGCAGCTCAGCCCAGGAGAGCTGGGGGGCTCTTCCTGCCCGTGGGTGTGGGTGTGGGTGTGGGTATGGGTGTGAGTGGGCCCCTCCTCACCAGCTGCATTCTCCAGCTTCACTGGAGTGGGCAGTTGTTCTGTGGGAACTGCAGCAGGCTGCAGGACCTGCTGGGTGATTATCCTCCCTAACCCGGGCAGCTGGAGTCATCCTTGTCACCAGCACTCTGAGGGCTGGTAGAACTGAAAGAGAGGAGGTTTAGATTGGATAAGGAGAAAAAAACCCTTCCCTGTGAGGGTGGGCAGGCCCTGGCACAGGGTGCCCAGAGAAGCTGTGGCTGCCCCTGGATCCCTGGGAGTGTCCAAGGCCAGGTTGGACGGGGCTTGGAGCACCCTGGGCTGGTGGAAGGTGTCCCTGCCCATGGCAGGGGGTGGGACTGGATGGGCTTTGAGGTTCCCTCCCACCCAAACCAGTCTGGGAATCCATGATTAAACTCAAGAAAAGCCATCATGAAATGTAAAAACCGAAAATATGGCCAAATGAGGCTGTTTAATGCATGTCTGGACAAAGAACAAGCTGTACAGCAGCCATACACACCGGGGGGTTTAGTGCCTTGGGGAAGTGAAGAGGGGCTGGGGGAGCTGAGATTTGTGCCATGGCAACTTCTCAATGTCCCAAAATCGGGAAGTCGTGGCCCAGTTCTGCCGCTGCTTCCTGCCAGGTTCAAAGTGCACATTTGAAGTGGAACTTGAAAAGCAGAAAATGAAGCTCCTACTTGCAAAACCCAAAATAAAATAAAATCTCAGCATTGCAGTTTGCAGCTTCTCCTGGGCCGGTTTTGCCCCGCAGTGGCTCGGTGCCTGGAGCAGCAGTGTCCTGGGAAGAGGTTTTGTGCAATCCATGTGTTCACCCCCTGCTTGCCGGGTTTGAGCTGCCCCCCCAAGCTCAGGCTCAGTTAAACCCTGCCAGGGTGAGAAGCAGTTGGACACTCTGGAGCTCTTAAAACTGGGGTTGTTGCTCAGTAAGGATCAAGCTGGGATTAGAGGGTGTTCCCAGCACTCCAAATGGAAACGTGCCTGTTGCAAAACGGGGTTGGGATAAGAGGAAGGGGAGAACTGGGTGGCAGGTGGGGCTGGGGATGTGTCAGGGAGCTCTGGAGCCTCAGCCAGGCTGGGCAATGCCAGTGTGTGAGGATGAGGATGGACACTTCTCTTGGGACTGGCCTTCCAGGGGAACGAGCCTGCCCAGGACAGATCCATCAGGAGAACCACTGGTGTGTAAAATCCTGCGTGGAAGCACGTGCAAAAACCCAGGATCTTCTCAGTGGGGTTGTTGTAGCACTCCTGTGTTTGGGAGAAGTGTGGCTGTGGCACTCACTCAGGATGGGCTTAGTCCGGGATTTGGGAGAATCCCAACACAGGGTGGGACCTGGAGGGGTTGACACAGGTGAATGTCTTGAAAAATGTGAATACAGTAAAGCTCACAGTGCAGAGAGGGGAGGGAGAACAGAGGAGCAGAGGGAGAGGCCAGTGCTCCAGGAAAAGGAAGAGCAGCTGGAAGGAAGAGGATTCCTCAGGGTGTCAGAGCACATCTTTAAGGTCACGAGGACACTGAGCAGGTGGGGAGGGTCTGAGGGAACCCCTTGCCTTTTCCAGCAGCAGAACATCAGTCCTGGCGTGAGGGGGCACGTGGGAAACGCCAGGAGAGGAAGCTCCTCACGGGATGCTGTGGGAGCTGCAGGGGCACACAGATGGGCTCACAGGGGGTTTGACAAAGGAACAGTCTGGCTTGGGCAGTTCAATCCACAGAGGGGATCTCTGGCTTCAGAAGTCCTTGAAGCACAGGGAAGTGGAAGCTGGAAAAGCTCTGGCCTGCCCAGGAGCAGCTCTGAGGTGCTTGTGAGGAGGCACAAAGAGCAGAGCTGGGCTTGTCATGCCAGTAAAGCACAGGCTCAGAGGAGTATCACTGTCACCTAAACATCTAATTCTTTCCTTTTCTCCTGCTTAGCTGCTCCTCCAGCTCTCCTGTCTTTAATAACATCTGTGTGTCAGCCTGTTTTCCTACAGTCCTGCTGACTGATTCCAAATTGTAGAAAGCGCTCTCAAATTTTAGAATGCATCTCTTAACTCTGTGGAAGGCCACAAAGTAACTTTTCTCTCCCTTTCATCTCTGCTGCCAACACATTTACATGGCCGGGAAAGAGTGCTCAGAATCTGGTTTTGTTCAGCAGTGAGCTCGCTGCAGAAATGATCCTCTGCCCGGGGTCAGCAGTGCAGGTGAGAGCCGTGTGGAGCAGCTCTCCCAGATGATTCCAGGTGTGGGAATTCCCTGTGACGTGCAAGCTGAGCGTGGTGGTGAACAGGCAGAGCTGCTCACAGCTCCACTGCCCCGGTGCCATCAGCCTCAGCAATTCTGCAGCTGCCCCAGGAACGTCTCCAAGGGAATTCTTTGTGCGGAGGGCTTTGGAGACCGTGCAGGTGGAAGATGTTCCTTTGGCAAGTCAGAGTCTCCTCTGGTTAAAGATTTTTTTAAACCTTTTCCTGCCTGAATATTTCTCAGAAATAGGGATCCAGCCTGTCCTGATCCCTCTGCAGGACCTTCCTGCCCTCCAGCAGATCCACATCCCACCCACCCCGGTGTCATCCCTGACCTGACTGAGGTGCCCTCGATCCCCTCGTCCAGATCATCAGTAAAGATGTTAAACAGGTCCGGTCCCAGTGCTGATCCCTGTGGAACCCACTGGAGCCCATTCCCAGCTGGGTGGGACTCCACTCCCCACCTCTCCCTGGGCCCAGATTTATCCCAGCCTGGAGCACACCTGTCCAGGCCATGAGCTGGGCAATTTGGGAGGGCACGTCCTCAGCCTGGCCCCTGCAGCTCCCAGTTCTGTGTCAGCAGGACGGTGTCTCCACTGCAACGTTCTGCACAGTTTGGCAAACACAACAAGAGGAAAGAGTGGGACAGGAGTACAATTCCTGGGATCATTTTGCCAGGAATTGCTCGGTTTAATACGTGGAAGACCTTCATTTTGAGCAAGGTGAGCTGGGAGGATGTTCACAGATCACCAGATGTAATCTCTGCAGCCGCGTAAATCCCTCATCAATAAATCATCCTGCACTTTAAGGTTTCTTTAGTCTCTGCCAGGTCAGCCGGAAAGCTGTCCCAGAAGTTCCTTTCTGTGTGGGTTAAACCTCTAATATGATACAGCTTATGCATATTTTAATGTTGGCATGAGACTCACTCAGATAGATTTTTCACTTTCCTCGTGCTCCTCCTTTCCCCAGTCCCACGGGACGACCTCCTTTGTCTTCTCTTTGCGGCCGAACCATCCGAGCTCCCTCAGTTCCCTCCCTGGCTGTCTCCCTAATCCCTGCAATCCCTGCCCACCTCTCTGTGTGAGCTCAGAGTTTGTGCCCGTGCCTGTGCCCACATCCACACCCAGAGCCCCGTTCCCATCTCCCTGGGGTTTGAACAAAGGGATGGGGAGCCCGGGCAGCAAACAAGGCCCGCGGCTCCGACCGTCTCCTGCCGTTTGCTCAGGGTGGATCCGGCACTCCTGGGCTCTTGGAGAGCCATAACTCACCCCCTGTGTTTGCCTCAGCCCTGCCCTACCTCCCATCCATTAGGAGTTATCTCTGAATAATGAATGGAGAATCCATTAACGAGGGGAAAGGGCAGCTGTGGGTTTATTGTAAAGAAAAGGAAGGGAGACGCTCCGGGTTCTTCGCTTTTTCCCCTCCCCAGCTTTTCCTTCCACCAGCTGAGCTCCAGCTGCCAGGAAAAGCACTGGAGGAGTTAACCAAGCGAGGTGGTTGTAGGATGTGACAAGCAGGGAGTAGCAGCTCCCTGTTACCAATGCCAAGTTGTGTCAAACCCACCGAGAGCTGTCCCTGTGCCGCTGCTGGATCCTCCAGGAGGGAGGAACCACAGATCCCAAACACCTGGTGGGCTTGGGAAGGCTTTTCCAGCACTGTCCTGCGGGGCAGGAGCGAGTGAGAGGCAGTGACTTGGGGAAAGGTGCTGGCAAGTGGATGCAGAACCCATGGAGAGAGAAAATAAATGGGATGTGATGTGAGGGGGGATCTGTGGAGATGATTTGCAGGAGTTTGTCCTGAGTGTGGTGAGAGGTGGTGTTTTCTGGAATCGTGGAATTGTAGAGTAGTTTGGGAAGAGACCTTGAATCTCATCCCATTCCACCCCCTGCCATGGGCAGGGACACCTTCTACGAGTCCAGGTCGCTCCAAGCCCCGTCCAGCCTGGCCTGGGACACTCCCAGGGATCCAGGGGCAGCCACAGCTTCTCTGCCCAACCTGTGCCAGGGCCTGCCCACCCTCCCAGGGGAGAGTTCACAGCTGGGAGAAAGGGATGTGTTGTGGTTCTTGGATTTAGGATAAGCCAGAAAAGGTGAAGTTGTGAGGTGTAAGTGGTATCAGGGACTGGGTTATAATTTCCATCACTTTCAGCTGACTGCAGGAATGTCACTGGAAAAACTCCCATGGAATTCAGTGCAGCCAAATGCAGAGTTAGAGCTGAGTGTGTGCCATCAGTCCTCCGATGGCAGAACAGTCTGCCTGCTCCTCAGGGCAGGGAGTGGGATGAGAGGAGTGTCTGGAGGATATCCCACTGTGGGGCAGGGGCAGGGCCCTGGCTGTGCTGAGACAGGGGCAGGTGGGAGGGATGGGCAGGGCAGGCTGCTGCCTGAGGCCTTTGGCCACTGAGTGAGGGCTGGGGAAGGTCTCCAGAGCACATCAGGCATCTTTGGGGAGCAGTGTGGGTATCCCTGGATGTTCTGTGGAGCTGGGAATGGGCTCGATTTGCCTTTGAGGCCACAGCCAGCGATCCAGGCCTCGGCCTGTTGGGACATCCCTGACCGGGGTGCTCCACTGGGGACCTGCCCCTGGTGTTCCTCTGCTCATTGCCCTTCTCCTGGTGTTGTCAGTCCCTGGAGCAGATCAGGGATCAGCTGCCTGTGTGCTGGAACAACCTCTGGGGTCGGAGCCAAACCGGGGCCGTAGCACTTGTTGAGGAGACAATTGAGAGAGCATCTCCTGCACCTCAGGGACTCTCCTCCATGGCATCTGTGCATCTCAAGGCTTTCCATTTACTCCCCAGTTCCAGTTGATCCCTGGCCAGAAATCCAGCGTGTGAACAAATTGAATTGGCAGCTCCATACCTGACCGGTGTCACTGAGAGCTGTCTCTAACCCTGGGATCTGTTGGGCTCGTGTCCTCTGAAAGGCACTGCAGAACAGGAATTCACCTCCTGATTCCCAATTTACTGACGTGCAGGTTTGCTTAACCAAATCTCATCCATCCGTCAAAACATCCCAGAATGAGATGGTACAACCCAGAGTGTCATTAGTGCTGCAGGATCAAGTTTTCAGCTTGCAGACATCAACACTTAATGTTACAGCACTTCTCCATTTCTGTGTCGCACTCTCAGACTGAAAATTTCAGGAAAATACATTTGTAAGGTCTGGTAGAATCTTCACAAAACGGATCCAAACCCAAAATTCCTCTCGGTGTTGAGTCTGAGAGTCAGAAAACGTTTGTGGTTGTCTCTGTGAGTGTCTCAGCAGCTGCTGGGGCATCGCAGTGACGGCACAGTCAGGTCATTGTGGGCTGCAGTTCCAGGCTCTTGGAGAACCCTGTGCATCCCTGGGGAGTGGTGCAGCAGAGCACACCCCCTGATGGGTGCCCTGTGCTGGTTTCCTTGGAGCTTGCCCTGACAGGGCCCGTTTTCCGCAGGGACACGGCGGGGCAGGAGCGGTTCCACACCATCACCACCTCCTACTACCGGGGAGCCATGGGCATCATGCTGGTGTACGACATCACCAACGCCAAGAGCTTCGAGAACATCAGCAAGTGGCTCAGGAACATCGATGAGGTGAGACCCCAAAGACCCCAAACCTGAGCTGGCTGTGGGGACCGCGGAGCAGGGCAGGGGTCCCCAGAGCTCGGCCCTGGCAGGAGGTGGACACTCACACGGGCCTTGGTGCTGGGCTTCACGTGTCCTGTGTCCCCACAGCTGTCCCTTCAGCGCTGCCAGGAGGGGCTGGGACCCTGCACAGGGGCTCTGTGGAGCTTGCTCGGTGACTGAGGCTTTAAAAGGGATGTCTGACACCTTAGGAAGCTTTCTGTTATTGTGGGAGAAGCTCAGTGAGGGAGTGGTTTGGGTTGGAAAAGCTCTGAGGCCACTGAGTCCAACCCAGCACTGCCCAGGCCAGCCCTGGCCCACGGCCCCAAGTGCCACATCCCTGACACCACTCAGGGAACACCGACCCCTCCCCTCCCTGTTTGCCTTTGCTGACCCCTGGCCCACTCTCTGCCTTTCCAAACCTCTTCTCTCCCACGTTCTCTCGGGGTCCTGCCTCCCTGTTTTCCTCCCCAGTCCCTCCTTCTCCCCTGGCTCGTCCTCCTCATTGTGCAGCAGCAGCAAAATGGGGAGGAGAAAACAATTCACCAGCTCTAGGGGGTAATTAGGAGGCCGCGTTTTAATTACAGCTTGTAATTAAAGTGCGTGGAGCTCGATTTTGGCGGCTGTAGATGTCACCAAATTCAGGCTGTGGGTGCTGGACAGCCCAGAGTGGGGCAGGGGTTTGGTGGTGGGTGGCAGAGGGGTGACCCTGTCCCCGTGTCCTTCCAGCACGCCAACGAGGACGTGGAGAGGATGCTGTTAGGAAACAAGTGTGACATGGAAGATAAAAGAGTTGTCCCTAAAGCAAAAGGTGAACAGGTGAGTGTCACACAAAAAAACTTCCTTGTCCAAGTCAGCAAATCCCTGGCAGGACCTCCCTCCAGCTCCAGGGGTTGGGATGACCCGTGGGATGTGACAGGCAGCAAACACAGCACCTGGATTTGCTGACGGGCAAATTTTTTTGGGGAATGTTTTCTGGGAAGCTGCCATGAATGGGATCAGTTCAGCTGCAGTTTCTGCTTCTTTTGATCACTCAAAACTCCCAGACATCCTTTAAGTTCCTCACCATGTGACAGCGTGTGCTGTCCTTCCTCTTACCCCCAAACTGTGATTATTTAATACACTTTAATTGCTGTTACTGAACCAGGAAGTTCTGAAACTTCTTCTGAGCCACCTTGTCTGGCTGGGGCTGGGAGAGTCACAGAATCCCTGAGGTGGGAAAAGCCCTCCCAGCCCGTGGATCCCCCTGTCCCCCAGCCCAGAGCACTGAGTGCCACAGCCAGGCCTTCCTTGGACACCTCCAGGGCTGGGCACTCCAAACCTCCCTGGGCAGCCTCTGCCAGGGCCTGACCACCCTTTCCAGGGACAAATTCCTCCTGATGTCCCCCCTGTCCCTCCCCTGGCACAGCTGGAGGCCGTTCCCTCTCCTCCTGGCCCTGTTCCCTGGGAGCAGAGCCCGACCTCCCCCGGCTCCCCCCTCCTGTCAGGGATTGCAGAGCCAGAAGGTCCCCCCTGAGCCTCCTTTTCTCCAGGCTGAGCCCCCCCAGCTCCCTCAGCCGCTCCTGCTGCTCCAGCCCCTTCCCAGCTCCGTTCCCTTCCCTGCCCACGCTCCAGCCCCTCCCTGTGTCTCTGGTGTGAGGGGCCAGCCCTGC